CAGTCCTGGGGTAATTTATCCCCAAATGTAAATGATACGGACAAGATCCATGTCCAGGTGAATTCATTACAATATAAATAAGTAACGCAAGTCCATGCCCTGGGAAATCCATCCTGAATATATATAATCATCTACGCTCACTGGGGGTGTGTACAGACTCCGGAGGGGCTCCTTCAGCCCAAGCGTGATATAAAGCCTATATGGCCTACTGCAGGCGGGCAGTCCCGATCCGTATAATAACAAAGCCTATAAGGCCTGCTGCAGGCGGGCAACCCGGATCCATAAAATATTAAAGCCTATAAGGCCTGCTGCAGGCAGGCAACCCCGATCCATATAATAATAATGTATAAAGCCATTCTGGACTGCTGCAGGCGGGCAACCCCGGTCCATTTATTGATAACATATATAAAGCCAATATGGCCTGCTGCGGCGTGCAGCTCGATCCCATAAATATCCTCACAATGGACGAATATGACTGAGTGTGAAATGTATATTTTTGAAACAATTAATTCAACAGGAACACGGCCTTATGGGTCCCAAAATATTGGCACATAGCCTAAACACGATATTTAATAAGAGTCTCGGCTCAATTTCTCTAACACGTGGAACATGTTCAGATAATAACATGATTCATTAATTTTACAACTACACATGATTTATTCAAGACATAATTTTTGTGGTGCACGTCTACATGCTCGTTACCTATCGTGTGTATCACCTCCAAACAATTTATATCATACCAAATTTCGGGGATTCATACCTTCAGAACCAAGTTTAGAAGTGTTACTTACCTCAAACCGTGTAATTCCGCTATGCCTTTGCATTGTGAATTGGCCTCCAAACGCCTCGAATCTAGCCACAATTAATTCGATTCAGTCAATAAAATTTATTGGAATTAATTACATAAGAAAATGCTAATTTTTCATAAAAATCCAAAATTTAGCTCAAAAAACGCCTGTGAGGCCCACGTCTCAGAATCCAATGAAACTCACAAAATCCGACAACCCATCCAATTAAAAGTTCAACCATACTAATTTCACTCAAATCCGACTCCGAATCGGTGTTCAAATCTCGAAAATTTATTTTATAAAATTGTAGAAATTCCTCCGATTTCTCTTGAAAAATCAATAATCTAGCGCCAAAAATGAAGATTAATTCATGGAATGTAATCACAAGGGAGTCAAGAACACTTACCCCAAGTTGTGTGGAAAATTTCCTCTCCAAAGTCGCCAAATCCGAGCTCCAAAATCTGAAAATGGAGAAAAAAACAAAAACCCACGATTTTACCTTCTGTCTAGTCTTTTACACTTCGCGATCGCGAAGCACAAAAATTTCCAACCCAAAATTTGCCTTTCGCGATCACGAAGAACAAGGGCCCAGCTCTTCCAGATAGCCTCTAGTATAATGGTCATAACAGTTTGTACAAAACTTTAAATTACAAATGGTTTAACTTTCTGAAAGCTATACACCAAGGGCTATAACTTTCATTTGTTGCTCACCTCCCAATTCCTTATAGATTACGAGATATAAGCTCCAAAAATCAGCCCTGTGCAACAGAAATTTCCAAACTCTTCCCAGATAGCCTATAGTATATCCACCATAACCTTTTGTACACAACTCCAAATGACAAATGGCTTACCTTTCTTAAGACTAGACACAAAGGGCTACAACTTTTATTTTTGGATCATCTCCAAATTCCTTATAGATTGCGAGATATAAGCTTCCAAAGTCGGGTTAGTGCAGCACGATTTTCCTCTACGCGATTGCGAAAAGGCTTCTGCGATCGCGATTCACAGTGTCCAAACAACAAAATTACTCTTCGCAATCGCGATCATTTGTCCGCGATCGCGATGAATACCTCTATGGCCAAAAACAAACAACTAAGAATGGCGTAGAAATGGTCCAAAACCACTCCGAAACTCACCCGAGCCCCTCGGGACCTCAACCAAATATACAAATAAGTCCTAAAATATCATACGAACTTAATCGAAGCCTCAAATCACATCAAACAACGCTAAAACCACGAATCATGCCCCAATTCGAGCTTTATGAAACTAAGAAATTCCAACTTCTACATTCGATGCCGAAACCTATCGAATCAAGTCCGATTGACCTCAAATTTTGCACACAGGTCATAGTTGACATAACGAAGCTATTCCAATTTTCAGAATCGGATTCCGACCCGATATCAAAATGTCAACTCCCCGGTCAAATTTTCCAAAAATTCATCTTTCGCCATTTCAAATCTAATTCCACTACAGACCTTCAAATATTTTTCCGGAAATGCGAGGTCGTTTACACATAAGTCCACATCCCGATCAACTTTTCTAACTTAAAATTTTTAATTATGAGACTAAGTGTCTCATTTCACTCCGAATTTCCTCCGGACTCGAACCAACTAAACCGGTAAGTCTTAAAACGACTATGAAGCATAAATTGAGCAGTAAATGGGGGAACGGAGCTGTAATACTCAAAACGACCGGCCGGGTCGTTACAATAACACATGATTTAACTCTCAAATCTTAGATTTTTGTTGGATACCCTATTCTGCCAAATTTCACCCAAGTACTAGGGTTTGAACTATTGAGGTAGTTTGAGATATTTGACACTACCCAACTATTAGATAGACTCTGTATAGATTATGGTTGGTGTGTGATTATGCTGTAGAGATGATGTGAACGGGATGGTTGAATCAAGATTCACTCTAGGTTTCATGAAAATGGTTGGATGACTATGGCCAAGTCCCAAAACATGAATTATCCTTCCGTTTGCATTAGTATTACAATAAGTCTATACATCCGTATTAACTCCCAATGCTCAAAGCCTACAAAACCTACGACCTCCTTTGAGCAATGGAGCTAGTTACAAGTTTGAACAAATCTGTAAATTCGTTTCTGCATCAACATTTTACATTGATGAATGGGCGAATTTGGAAA